CAGACCCTAAATTCTCCGATTCTCTACAACATCGAAATCTTCTTGTGCGGCGTACCGTAATTAGGAACGAGGAGTCCGGGGAGAAACAAACAATGCTCACCTCCCTCAAATTTCCCCTCGCATCTGCGGCTGTTGTGGACATGGATCTTCCATTGTCCGAGCATTTTCAGTATTGCGAATTCAGCGGCCATTCTCGCGGTTTAATTTGCCTCTCCAATATGCTCGGCAATATTTTCCTCTGTAATCCAGCAACCGGAGAGCTTCGCAAGCTGCCCCCCTCCATTCTCCTCACCGAACCCCCCGAGGACCCCTTCGATCCAAGCTGTACACGCACGAACGGAGTTGGATTCGGGTACGATCCGAAATCAATGGATTTTAAGGTCGTTAGGGTTGTGACATTTGAAGAAGAAGAATATGAATATGAATGTTACAGAACGGAAGTGTACGATTTGGGGAAAGATGGTTGGAGAGAAATCGAAAGTCGTGCTTGTGGGTTTGTAGTCTCGGGTTGTTCGTTTGATATGTATCACGAAGGAATGTATTACTGGATCGCGTTAGAGGAGGACGAGGAAGAGCACCAGGAATGTATTACTCCTTACTTACGATTAGATGAAAGTATAGCTTTCTTGGTTTTCACAAAACCAAACTCCTTCCATTTCTAACTTTTTTCATTCACCTTTTCATAGTGGATCTCTTCTGGGACAAAGCGACAATTATATTGCATTGAGTCCATGAGCAATCTTCACAATCAAATTTGAAAACAAATTGCTAGGAGTATTTGTAGTTTAATGGACATAATTTCTGTCACATCCTCTCTATTTGTAGTTTAATTTTAAAGGATTAAGAGTTTAGCAAAGAAATGTCGTCTTTCTTTTTTTTTTTTCCTTTTCATTTGATGCTAGTCCTTAATTACCAAAAATTGCTTGATTTAGTTGGGGAGAGTTTGTAGGCTTAGTCTTCGTTAGACCTAATTAGGTGAGTTAGTGATCGGTTATTACTTTTCTTATAAATACCTTGTAAAAGTTATCAATTCAATGAATAGAAGTTCTTTTGAACTTTTTTTTTTCCTTTGAAATACAATGTGGGCATTCAAACTCACAACCTCTTGGTTAGAGGTATATGCAAATTATTTTAATGCTATTATGTTGTCTTTAATTACTTAGTAAATGAATGACGTGACTTAAAATGTGTATCAACACGTTGACGTGAGCATGAATTAAAATTGCTTAGATTTGCTACCATGGGTATATAATCTAAAATCCTGTCTCTATAATACTATTTGTGCTTTTAAAAATTTGCTACATGTATATATAAGTTTAAAATTCTGGATTTTGAGTTTGTTTTACCTAATTTGTTGTTGGAAGTTGCTTAATTTGGAGTTAATTTTGCAGATACAATATGATGTGTCACATAAATGGTGAACTAAGACCGTCTAGAATTTAATATCCTATGAGTTTCCTTGTCAACCAAATGTAGAGTAAACTGGCCCGAACATACGGATATAAAAAAAATGGTGAAGTAAGACCACTTTTCTGAATTGATATGCAGTAGTAAAACTCGGCCTATTTGTCTAACATTAAATTTAGTCATTTTCTTAGGTTTTCCTTCTTTGTCATGACTCGTGACTTGTTTGAAGGCTTTTTTGTGTGTGTATTAAGCTTGAGCTAAATCTTCTTTTGTCCATTGCCATATTTGTGTATATTCGAGGCATTTACAAATCATAAACCCACAACTCAAATACGTTACACAAATCCAAGTTTAACAAGACGTTATCATAGACCACCTATGCCGATATTTTGCTAAAGCGTCGACATAGGTAGTCTGCACCGACACTTTCCAAAGTGTTAGGATAAATAATATTATGTATAAATTTGAAACAAACACAATCATAACATTTTCAAAACAAATAAAAATATTATTTTATCAACTTACAAAATACATAATAAATGCAACATAAATGAAATATAACAAATTTTTTTGGAATAATTAATTAAAAAAATTTTAATTTTCATATAAAACTTTTACTTTTATTAATTGAAAAAAACAATTACCAAACATGTTATTGTTTCTTTTCTAATTAGAAAAAAAAAACAATAAATAGTTATCACAGTTATATTTTTTTAAAATGGGCCTACAATGTCACTTCACAAAATCATTCCAAATTTCTTAATAAGTAGCAATCTTCATCCGATTAATACATGTATCTTAACTAAACGGTCTGGATTCTACTTACAAAAATCTTCCTTAGAATGATTGAAAAACTATACAAAAAATACAAAGAACAAAATTGAAGGCAATCATTTCAGGATTGCCCAACTTTTAGAGATTAATGATTCGACGTAACTTTTTTCTCCTTCAAGGAATCGAACTATCTCGACCCTATGATTCAGTCAAAACATATGCAAAAGCAAGGGATCAAGGATTTTCAAGCTTTTTTCTAACAACTTTCTTCACAGTTTGCCAACTTAATAAAAAGTAACAAAAGTTCTCAACTATATTTGCAAGTAAAGAAAGGAAGCAACCTTCACAATTAGTCAGGTTTATCTATAAAATATAAGAAAATTCTCAACAACATTTGCAAGTCAAGCAAGGAAGCAGCACACAGATACATTGCTGCTCTTTTTTTTTTTTCTTTTTTTCGAGTTCAACAGAGGTGGGAATTCGAACCTCAGGTCGATAATATATGTCTTAATCGATTGAGCTAGGTTCAAGTTGGCATAGATACATGGCCTTCAATCAACTAGTTACCCGATCTTAATTGGTAAAATTCAGTTAGTCTAGAGTAGGTTACAAAGGCTAATTTTGAATCCATACCAAATACCTTGATTTTGAAACCGTTTTAGAAAGTAGATTGCAAAAGAAATAAATTTTTAATAAAACATACATGGTTTTAGAAGATAGAAAGTTAAAAACAACAAAAATATTATGGTATGAGACTTGAAATATTCTTTTACAAATACTTTATATGCCATTTGTCAAGTCCTGGTGAAAAGAAAAAACACACAAAGGCCAGCTTTGATTCCATAGAACCAAATATCAATAATATAAAAACTGGCAATAAATAAGAGTTTTCTGAAAAAATGGATGAGTTGTATAATAAAAAAAAAAAAGGAAAATATCCTGCTTAATCCATAACCACAGAGAACAAAATAGATCTTTAAAATATTGATTCTAGTTTCATATACCATGATAGATTCATGACATAAACATAGCATTATTGACACATAAATCACTACTTTGCAGTTTGAGACATTGACGCTTTCAAAATATGCATAGACATAATCTGAAATTCTGAAATTCTAAATGTAAATGAAGTTGGATCTTACTGTCTCTTCATTTGTGATTTAACCAATTCAGGGCATGTGAGCACCAGATAATTATTCTGATCCTGTAGAATCACATTGAAAGGTATATGGTAAGATGGAGAGGCCCACAAGCAAAGGCCTCTTAACAATGAAAGAATTTAACTAAAGAGGAAGAAAAGAAGTTTGATTCAACAGAAATTATATTCCTTCTCAAGGCTATAAATTTGGCAACTAAACTTGCAAACATCCCACACAACCTCTTTTAACTTTCTCTACCTTTGAATTGTACAACCATGGTTGGCACTAATAAGTTCTCACCAGCCTCTAGGCAGCAATTGATCCAGGGTAACAAGTTCATGTCTGCCATTTCCGATGACAATGCGATGATGAAGCAAATAACAGCCACCCACGATCCTGATGACCGAGAAGTCGATACAAGATCCCTTCTTCATCTCGTTGAAAACATTCTGAAACGCGCCACCTTAAGCGATGATGCCACGGTATGGAACTAATCCTGTCCATTCAATAGACAGAAACAGAACAGCATTATTCTTGCTTCTGGACATTAAAAATTATCAAACACTCAATGCAGACAACATAGAGTGACTTGTTGAAAATTGGCGTTTAGAATAACTTTGCCTATTTGGTTTCTTAGCTAACTATGAATGGTAAATACAGGGTTCACATGAACAACTAGAGAGTTTGGAGGAAACAGGCAACTATCAAGCAGGCTTCACTACCATGTTGGAAGCCTTGTCCTACACAATCGATAGAATTTCCAGCGAGGTAACTGAAAAATGATTATTTTTAATTTTTCTAGTCTCAACTGAATATTTTCCATGCAATGACAATGAAGCTAGACCTACACATCAATGATATGTGATATTGAGTGGTATTGACATGCTAAAGTGATGAGCATTACCAGATATCATACAAGGCTTTGGAAGGGATAGATCCACATGCAACAACATTGGCAATCTTTAACATGTTGGCAAGCTACCAATGGGATGCTAAACTGGTGCTGACATTAGCAGCTTTCGCCTTGAACTATGGGGAATTCTGGCTTCTCGCCCAGATTTACTCACAAAACCAACTTGCCAAGGCCATGGCAATTTTGAAGCAACTTCCAGGAATCCTTGAGCACTCGATCGCACTAAAGCCTAGGTTTGATGCGCTAAGGGATCTTGTAACAGCTATATTGGATGTAACTTGGTGTGTCATTGACTTGAAGGAGCTTCCATCGGCATATATCTCACAAGAAGTTCCAGCAATGTCCACAGCAGTTGCCCATATCCCAACTGCAGTCTACTGGACCATTAGGAGTATTGTTGCCTGTGCAACTCAGATAACTAGCTTAACTAGTATGGGCTATGAGTACGTCCTCCTCCTCTCTTTTCCAGTCAGCTATCTTCAAATTCTTTTCTTTTTCATAGCAACCTATTACCATGAGCATTATGCTTTTCTGGTTTCAGGCTTGCTTTATCAACCAGTACCGAGTCATGGGAACTATCTACTCTTGCTCACAAGCTTAAAAACATACGTGATCATCTCAAAAAGCAGCTGATACTCTGCCACCAATATATAGGTAGATTAAATAGATCGTTCTCTAGATCTCTCTACACAATGCACAGACATGTATATGATGTAATGCTGATAAGTGACCAACCTTTACTGCAGAGGAGAAGAGAGACATTGAATCATTTCAGATGCTAATTAATCTTTTTGAAATGACCCACCTGGATAACATGAAGGTTCTCAAGGCTTTGATTTATGCTAAAGATGATCTACAGCCGCTAGTCGATGGCTCTACAGGCCAAAGGGTCTGGACATCTAACTACTGCAAACAAAACTCAATTTGACATTTCTGAGTCTCTACATTCTTCTAAACATCACTTGTTTCATTGTTAATAACAGGTTAACCTAGACGTGCTAAAAAGGAAAAATGTGCTACTGCTCATCTCCGACTTGAATATCTCCCATGATGAGCTTTCGATTCTTGATCAGCTTTACAACGAGTCAAGGGCCCAAGGAATGCGGGTCGAGAGCCAGTTCGAGGTCGTTTGGATCCCGATAGTGGAGCATTCTAGCAAGTGGAATGATTCATTACAAACACGGTTTGAGTACCTCCTATCAATAATGCCATGGCACATAGTGCACCATCCTACATTGATTTCCAAGGCAGTTACCAGATTCATTAAGGAAGTATGGCAATTCAGAAACAAGCCCATCCTCGTGGTGTTAGACCCTCAAGGGAAAGTGGTAAGCCCAAATGCAATCCACATGATGTGGATTTGGGGAAGTCTTGCCTTCCCATTCACCAGCTTGAAAGAGGAAGCTCTCTGGAGGGAAGAGAGCTGGCGGCTCGAGCTGCTGGTCGATGGCATCGACCCCGCAGTTCTGAACTGGGTAATTCAACCACCCCAAACCTGATGTTATGACTCATTACAAGAATCCCCAAATTCAAATCTTAAGCCATTATAAAAAAAGCAGCTAGTTTCTCACAGGTCTTTTTTGTTCTTTCCAAAACACAGATAAAGGAGGGGAGATACATCTTCCTATATGGAGGAGACGACATAGAATGGATAAGAAAATTCACAGCCACAGCGAAAACTGTGGCACAAGCAGCACGCATACCCTTAGAAATGGTGTACGTGGGAAAGAGCAGCAAAAGGGAACGCGTAAAGCAAATAATTACAACAATCACAACAGAGAAACTAGGGTACTGCTGGCAAGATCTTACGATGATTTGGTTCTTCTGGACTCGAATCGAGAGCATGCTGTTCTCCAAGATCCAATTAGGAAAGGCCGACGATCGCGATCCTCTGATGCAGGAAATCAAGAAGCTTCTGAGCTACGACAAAGAAGGAGGATGGGCGGTGCTGAGCAAGGGATCGACGGTGATCCTCAACGGCCATAGCACCACCGTGTTGCCCACACTGGGGAGCTTCGATTCATGGAAGCAGCAGGCCGCCGATAAGGGTTTCGATTGGGCTTTCAAGAATCACCACGACGAACTTCAAGGCATTACTCACCCCTGCTGCCGCTTTGAATTCCCGCACACCACCGGGAGAATACCGGAGAATTTCAAGTGCCCTGAATGCGACCGGCAAATGGAAAAACTCACCACCTTCCTCTGCTGCCATGACGAACAATCAAAAGAATAAACCCTAGAAAACCATCTTCTTCAACATTCATACAGATACATTGTTGACTAAATAAACTGCAAATCTGCAACCTCTCACAATAATTTGGACTTCGAGATTTCAAAGAATTGGAATTTGATGAGAATGTTTCAACGTTGATAGGAAGGTATTATGAATAATTTGAATATTTTCAACCAAATGTAGAAAATGACATATAAATTTATAATACCGGTCGATGGAAATGTCGTCCCGATTTGAAATATCGTTAAAACGTTTGATGAATATTTCCAGTAAGATTATAAAAGCGAAAAATTAGTAAAAAATATTTTAGCGAAAAATTAGTAAAAAATATTTTAGTTAACATATAACCGTTTCATCCAAATTAAAAAGGATTAATATTAATATTATAATATTTCGTTGATATTTTTCAAATTTTGTTGATTTTTCTTTTTTTTCATTGAAAATGTCGATTTATTTCTTATGTCTATTACTAATAATGAAGAGTGAATTTGTTCCTGAAGACCAAACTTTGGTCAATTGGTTTGGCCGAAACTTATGTCGTCGAGGACTCTCATTGTCGACAATCGGCTAGTGAAGCTAGTGGTCGATTTGAACGTGTGGGGACTATAGCAAAAGTAAGTAAGAAATTTAAACAAATTTAAAATCCAACCATTATTAAATTGTAAACCAATTTTTAATATCCACAAGGGCATAATTAGAAATTGTTAAAAGATGAAGAGTCATATCGAAACTTTTCAAACCATAAGAACTAAATAAAAAAAAATAAAAAAAAATCACGAACATGAGACTAGAACATATATTTAGCCTAAAATAAATAATAATCGATGACTCTCGAGTTCATAGTTGAAACCAGCGAAAATGAAACTTTAAGATTAAGATCGACTCAGATAAGTTAGATTTTTCTCTTACCCTCGTACAAGAAAAACCTTACATAAGACCCTTTTTTTTTTTCCTTCAAATGAATTGATGACAACCATTTTAACAGTTTCTCTTTGTTCTTGTTGAAATGTGATTAGAAAATACAAGCTGAAAAGGGAGAAATGTGGAAAGATCTCATCTTTTATGTGAACTAAGTAAAATAAAATACTTTTTCTCATCTCTAATGTCAAAATGTCTTAATATCTGCAGAAAAGAATAGGCTCCACAAACCTGAGAGAGGTATCAAACCCCAAATTTCAACTCCTTTTCCTGTTCAAACTCTTGAAAAATCTGTGGAAGTTGATAGAAGACGAAATGAAGAACCCGAAATCAAGAACTTGCGATCCTCATTCAGCCCGAGGAGTTGTTCCACAGGTTGCTTTGCCGCTGTCTTTCATGTCTACAAACTTCTGAATTCACTTAGCAGGAAAATACTACAAGGAGGCATCGAGATCTCGAACATACTTCTCATGCCCGTTCCGATCCATGAAACCTGAATATGAAGTGGTTCTCCTCTTGTTCCTGTGATGTTTGCCTCTCATCCCCTTCCCTTTTCGACCCGAAAACCTAGATACGATCACTACCAAGAACACCAAACCAGATATCACCCACAGAGCAATTATCCACAACCTCAGAGAACTAAACATCCCATCATCCTTCGCCTCCTCCGACAATTCCCGAGACAAATTGTCAACTTTTTCAGTATAGCTTTCATCAAGCTTGCCAACTTTCCTCGAAACCACAGCTTCACTTTCATATTCCGGGTTCGAGTTGGCCAATGAGTTGGGATCGGGGCAGTTCATCTTCTTATGATGCAAATTCAGAGCTTCATTCAGAGTTCTTATACACTCTATGCTAAGCAAGTCCCTGTCAAAAGCTTCCTTGTCAGTTGGATCAAGTGTGGAAGTATCTGGTGGATCAGGAAATTGAGCCCAGCATTTGTTCACCACATCAGTTTCCCTCCAATTTGCCTTATCAAAGCTCCAATTCCCCACTTTAAATTCAAGTCCATAGTGAAACACTCTGTAATGAACTCCAGATTCAGGAACGTATCCCGGGTATATCAAGATCTTGCTGTTTCGAATGTGCCGTAATTGCAGCTGTTCGAGAGTGAAAAAGAAATGTTTTCAGTTTCAGTATCATTGTAATGGTTTGAGGATATTCAATACTGATTTCAGCTTGGTTAACGATAAAGACCTGGAAATGATTGAATGGTGAAGAAACATGCAACCTATACAACAATAACCTCAACTTTCAGGCTGATTTGTTTTGGTCCGTAAACTTTCAAAATGTTCTATTCTAGTTCCTCGATCTTGCATTAAAAATTTGACATAAGAATGTATTTTGTTTACTACCTAATGAGCAGATACGTCTAAAGATAAGTATTTAAAGTCACTTGAAACGTGTTCAAATTGAAAACGGATTTTGAAATGGTTTGTAATTTTTTTCAAAAACTAATTAACTGAAATTCAACAATAAGGACTAAATCAGTCTTTTATGCAAAGCTACAAGGGCTAAAGCAAAACATTTTAAACTGTTTTTTTTTTCTTTCTTTTTTTTATAAACATTAAGTTGAGGAACTAAAATATAACTATGAGCCGAAATAAGCATGAAAGTTCAAAGACCAATCGAAGATTTAAACTAAAAAAGAACAACTAGCTAAACCATAGCCTAAGTACCTCGGCAGCACCGAATGAGTAACCGTACATCTCACTGATCCAGCCAGATTCATATATATCTCCCGTGATATTCGTTGCATAATGAGCTCGGTCGGCTCGGACCTCCTCGGTTTTATGCAACCATAGCATGGCAAATTTCCTGAGATCATCTACGTGCATGATAATAACACCCCCAACTTTGTCACAAGCTTCAGGATGGCTTGTATGGAGTTTGGCAAGCACATTGTCACAGCCAATAAGGTAACTACAAACATATATTTGACACAAGTCAAAATATTTCCTACTAAAACTTAAAAAGAGAAATCAAGTTCATATGCAAACAATAGCATTTTTTTTTTCTTAAAAGAATGAAACCGGACTTTCATTGAGAAAAGCGGAAGAATACAAAAGAGGCTTACAAAAACCACAGCCTAGAGAAGGGAGAGACAAAACGACACCTAGACCTAACGAGATAGAAAAAGAGCTCCACTTCAAACGAATAAGACCAATAGGATAATTACAAAAGATGCATATTCTTATGTCATTTACACGCCTACATGCACACATATATATGGGAGAGAGGGGTTCTGCATATTTATCAAAGAGAGAAATACTTGAATAGATTCTTACTCATAGGGAGTTGAAACGGGACGTCCACGAGCTGCTTTGAACTCCCATGGCGTAATTGGTCCTCTCAAGATCATATCAGCATCAAGAATAACGATAAATTCTGCATCAGTGTTTACATGATTGAGCCAATGAAGCACTGCAGCTGGCTTGTTTATGGCCGGATACCTAAGACGGAACAGAAAGATTCAAGATTTAATTTTCCTCCCAAATCTTTGAACATCTTTTTTTTTTTGGGTCAACATAGGCAGGATTGAAAAATGTGTAAGATTGTAGTTTTGAAGGGTAAATATAATGCACATTAGATAGCAGATAGAGAAATTTGTAGAAAATAGGAAGAAGATAAAGAAAAAAAATAGATGGTTTCTTGCTTTATATCCATATAAATTTTTTTTTTTTTTTTTTATAAGAAACCAAATTTTTCATTGAGAATAATGAAAACAAAACAGACGTACGGCATACAAAAACAAAGCCCTGAAGAGGAAAGCCAAACTAAAGAAAGGGCCTCCGATCCAAAAGAATATGACCTAACTGATAGTTACAAAACAATTTCGAAACAGACCCCATAAAGAAAACATTAAACCTTATGAGGTCCCAAAAAAACTCCATATAATGATACACAGAAATATTCCATTCCTCTCCAAAATAGTATGTGATACCTAATAAAATTGGGAAACCAAAAACAACCGAAAAAGCTGAGCGATAAGCAAAAGAGTAAAAGCAGGCTCATGGGTGAATACAAAAAAGAGATTACCAGTCGCCGGTTAGTGGATGTCGATTCATGGAAGGAACATAATGCGTCGGAGCCAGATCGTGACCTTTGTATTCTTTCAAGTCCTCACTGGTACAGCTGAGAAGTCGCGTAATGTTTCCAGGTTGGCCGCTCAGGCGGAAACTATGCATAAGGCCTACAGTCTGCCAGTCGAAATAAGGAGTACACTCCGTCGAGAAAAGTGTGTGAATCTTTGGATGTGATTTATTCGGCTCATCAAACACCGGTTGCTTCTGAACATGATTTTCCTTCACCGGTTGTTTCTGACCATGATCTTCCTTCATCGGTTGTTTCTGAACATGATCTTCCCTCATCACTAGAGTAGCAGGGGTTGGATACTTGGGTTTAGTTAGGTCAGTAAAAGTTTTACTCTTTAAAAAGCTTAAATATTTTGACCACTGTGGCTTCGGGCATTCGTTTCGCTTATGTTGCAACAATAGGCCCTCATTCAATAAGTTGATACACTCTATATTTATAAGTAGCGCCCGCTTCTTATTTGGATCAGATTCCATTTGTTGTATCTGCACAGAGTTCAATCTTAAGTAACAAACTAGAATATAACGAATTCAATGCAAAAAAATGTGTTCAGTGAAGACCTTCTCCAAATGTTTTTCATAAAAACGCATCGAAATATCTAAGGAACCATTCATTTGTGCACATACCTCTCGAGGATATGGAGGTTCTGGGAAAAGCCGGTTACAGTCATAGACAATACCATCTTCATGGTGATTTAATTTACTAAAGGACCAATTTCCCACACTAAATGGCAACCCATAGTGAAGAAGTATAGGCTCGATGTCTGGACGAGGAATATAACCGGGGTAGATCATCAAATTGTCATTGATTTTGTGTCGGAGACCAACCTGAAATAAGCAAAGAAGTTGCAAAACATAAATCTATAGAATAACAGAAACATATCGAGCAGTCAATAGACACGGCGAGATAGCAAAAGCTTTTCATATTGCCCTTTGGAAAAGTTGAAATAAAAATAAAGCTTACTTCTGCTGCTCCAAACGAGTAACCATACATCTCACTTATCCACCCTTTCCCATAGATATCACCAGTTATGTTGGTCGCCCAGTGATCTCTATCTTCACGTACTTCTTCCGTCTTCGAAAGCCACATTGGTGCGAACACTCGAAGATCATCTATATGCATTGCTAACAACCCACCAACTTTGTCACAGAGCTCTGGGTGCTTAGTGTGCAGTTTAGCAAGAATATTGTCACATCCAACCAAGTAACTGAGAGAAATATTATTTACATCATTCAAACTCAGTAACAACTAGGAAAGATATAAATGCAAGAAGTTCCTTATTGCCATACAAATCTCACAACAGAAATACCATATGTTAGTTTTTTCTAATCCTATTCTAGCCCTTAAACTTCATGCTTATTCTATTTTGGACCTTAAACTTTCAAACATTTTGTTTTCCTCTGAACATTCAACAAAATGCCCCTACATTTTTACTTAATCAAGAAGTATCTATATGGACAGGTATTTTAAGTCACATGTAGTAGGGAAGAGTTGAATTTCAAAATAGATTTAGGTTTTTCTGAATGATTAGTAGAAAATTAATGATAAGGACTAAAACCATTTTTTTATGTAAAAGTTGAGGGAATAATAATAGTGAAAGTATAAGGACTAAAACAAAACTTTAGGTATTTTTTTCTCTTTTAATAAGAAACTAAGCTTTCATTTAGATAAATGAAAGGATGTACAAGGGCGTTAAAGAAAAAATTCAGCCCAAAAAAGGAAGCGAAGTCTAAAAAAGGGGCTCCAATCCACAATAAGAACACCAAACTGATAAGTACAGAATTCCTTAGTAACCGAGGCCCACAAAGAAGTATTAAATAGGTCCCAAAACAAGATTTAAACCGTTTCTTTCCTTTTTTATTTTAACTGCAGAAGACCAGCAACATCAATCCAAGTAACTTTGATTGAAGTTTCCATTTATAAGAGACTGAACTAAAATAGAGAAGAAACAAACCCATAATATGCTGCAACAGGTCTGCCCTTCTCAGCACCAAGTTCCCAAGGTATTATGGGGCCTCTTATGATCATGTCTGCATCCAAAATCACAACCCAATCAACATTCTCTGCTTCTTTGCTATGTTTAAGCCAGTGGACAACCCCTGCAGGTTTATTTATTGCAGGATACCTGCAAAAACATGTAAATATTTTATTTTGGTATCATTCTTCTTTTCATTTGTCGCCAGGATTCAAGAGGAGGAAAAAGAAAAATTAACAAGTTGTGAAGTCGGAAGAAATATAGTAAGAGAGAGTTGTTCAAATCATCAAAAAGACAAGAATGAAAAGAAAAAATTTGGGATCTAATTGCTACTTTGATGAGTGAGTATGAAAAAGAACATCCATAAATTATCAAGTCAAACAAAGGCGAAAACAAGCTTTCTCCTCAGATATTAATTATCAACGGAAAACATCCCCCCTGTTCATCAGTGCAAAATTCAATCAATTTTTCTCAACAAAGAATACATATTCCGAAGTAATTCTAAAGCCTCTTGTTCGAGCAATTTACACAAATATTCTTCTTCCTGTAGCTACTCTATCCATATTCTTGAAAGTTGGATCGTGGAGAGTTATTGATACACAAATATGGGTACGATCTCTTCCATCAAGATTGAACAAGGTCAAAATGCAAGCCAGTCCCCAACCTTCTCCAAATAACTCTTCCCATTTTCTCCCATTTCATTTCCCCTTATCCGGTTTACAATTTCACGTTCCATTTCAATATCTTCTCCTCTAATCACCCCTACATCATTGATGATTGAACAACATTATCTTTCAAACCAGAATATCACAGCTCTCTACAGCCCTTGAGATATATTTTCTAAACAGGAAGCCTCTTCCACTGGCTTCGCAGTTACTGATTAGTAAACAAGCTAAATTTTGATCACTGAATAGCATCAAACGGTTAAACAGAGCACATAAACCAATCAGAATTTCATCATTTTCTGATCCTAATCCAACAGGTCAACGCAAAAACAGCCAAAAAAAAAAGGAAAAAGGGAAGAAGAAACTGTAAGCACACTGATCGATCTAGTCAGCAGATGAACAATTTCAGAACTAAAACCAAACAAACTAATAAAGATAGCAATCAAAACACAAGAAGATTACTAACCAGAAGCATAGGGGAAAAAACTGTACACAAACTGATCAATCTAGTCAACAAATAAACAATCTCATAACTGAAATCAAATTAAACAAACACAGATAGCAATCAAAACAACCATATTACTACCAAGAAGCACGCCAAAAGCAATTCAAAACCCAAATGCTCAACTCCAAAGTTCTAGAAATGAAAGGGAAAAGGTGAAGAAACTCTAACCAGTCCCCAGTTTTTGGATGCCTACTCATGGATGGGACCTCAAAAGTGGGAGCCAAATTCATCCCTCTGTAATTCTTCTTCTCCTCATCGGTGCAACTTAGCAAGCGGGTGATTGGCCCCGGCTGCTGCGACTTCTTGAAGCTGTTCATCAGCCCAACAGTTTGCCAATCGAAGTAGTTCTGGCACTCGACCGAGAACAGAGTGTGAATCCGCCACGGCGCCGCCGTGCCGGTGTTGTTGCTCCGCCCATTGCCGGCCACAAACCCCACCAAAGAAATCGCCACAAAAACCAATAATTCCCTCATTTTGGCTCAATCCAGGGCCAGATTTCAATTGGGTATTTGTTTCAGAGATCTGGCTTCGGCTTGCATGACCCGGATCGCAGCCACAGGTCAAACTTCCATTTTCCTACTCTTTTTTTGTTTTCTTTGACATAGATGAGAGGGAGTAATGTGGGGACATGGTTGGGAGAAAATAACTTATAAAAACAAACATTTGGGTGCTAATAAATTAGAACAAAAATCACAAAAGAAGAGCTTTTTTTATTTATTTCTACAAAAACCAGAAGCTTGGGATGGAAATTTGCTTCTCTGATCAGAACATGGGAGCAGTTGGGAATGGTTTTTCCAAGTCCAACCCAAATCAGCAGGAACCGCTTCTTCTTTCCTGGGTAATTATTGCGGATGCAAAGTTAATTAATCAACTAGTTACAAGCTGAAGATATTGATTGATCATCTCGGTAAAGGTGAGAAATTCCAATCCCTGCGTATTAAAAAAGTAATAAAGTGAGAAAAAAAATTAAAGTAATTTGAGTTAAAAAGATACACCTAAATATGAGTTACTCCTCGTCAATTTCTATAAATATTCATAATTTATTTCCTTACTTTTAGTTTAGTTTGAATTTAGTCTATCTAAGAAATAGCTTAACTGATAAAAATACATATTTCGACCAAAAAATTATATATTTGAATCTTCAACTCCATATATTAGTGTACAACATAAATTAAATAAAATAAAATAATTAGTCTTTACTAATTTTTTAAAAGAAAATTTTATTCTTTATGGTTTAAAATTAATTTCACTTTAGCATGTGATTTTAAAATTTTTAATTTGATTATAATAGTTTGATCAAATGTCACAAATTGTCCATATATTTTTTAAGGTCGTTCATTTTTTATTTACATGATAATGAACTTATGTGTTTGCTATTTGACTAACCAGTAGAGTATATTAGAGTTTAAACAAAGTAAATATATAAATAAATAAATAAAATAATAGATTGTTTTGCAGACAATATGTAAAGTTTAATCAAACTATATAGGGAGCAAATTAAAATTCAATAAGACTCAAATTTGAATAAATTCAAACCATAAAAATTTAATTAAAATTTTTTAAATTATAGGAAAGATGAGAGTAAAAACGAAAAAAAAAAAGTTAATATTTGGTGTAATGGAAGAACTAAACATATAACAAAAATAAATAATACTTTTGAGATACAAAATCATTACATAATATGTGTTATCCTCCACCATATGTTGAATCATTCATTTGAAATCTCTTTAATAGTTGTAGTAAGTTCGATATTTGCTCAATCGAGCCTAACTCTACAATAAATTGACATATATCTTCAACCAAAAAGTTGTTAATTCGATCTCCCACTTCCATATATTGTACTAAAAAAAGTGGTAATAAAAAGTAATAATAAAATTAGGTTATAAGTTATATACCGATGTAATTTAGTTTCAATGTAAATTTTTTTAATCCATAATCGGTGTCATGCGGCTTCGCCAATTGGATCCTTATAACTGGGAGGTGTCGACAACTGCCCAACACAATAACCGACGTTGCGGGACTGTTATAAATCTTGTCTAACATCTCAGTTAAAATGTCTAATAAAAATAAATTAAAGATTGAAATAAATTAAAATGGAAACTAACAGCTATGTTAGGGCATATTGTATAATTTACTTGGTTTCTTTCAATATGTCTCTATCAATGTAATTAGTTTAAATTTTGTCCCTAAAATTTAAAAGTTTCCATTATAAAAAGAGTTATCATCCGAGAGAACTTTTTATCTTATATTTTTGTAACAAATTAAAATATTATGGTAAATTTCAAATTTTTTAAAGCATGAAGAGTAAAGTTGAAATAAATTATATAGACCTAGTATCTCTTGTAATTTAGCCTGATAAATAAATGATATTATTTTATAAATAGTTGGGAAGTTTTAAAATTTAATTATTATGATTTATTGATAGCACTAAAATAATTCAAAAGAGCTAAAATGGTTGACTTAATTTGAAAAAATAAAATATAAAAGAAAACTTGATTTTGTTGAAAATGAAACCAGAAAGCAAAATTTTTATACAATTTTTGGAACATTTCCAAGATGATAAAAGGAGAACGTTACCAAATAGACCTTAAATTTGGTCTATATTTTCAATTAGGTGGATCATAAGATGTATTCTAAAAAAATAATCACAAAAATCAAATAATAATTTTTGTCGATGAAATTATACAAAATACTCATGAATCCTAAAAGTTGTTCAAGGAAAAAAGAAATTAAAACACTGCCTTTTTTTCCTTTTTTTAATGTCTTGCGTGTATTCAAAATCTTCAACTTGAATCCCTATCTATTTGCTCATTCATCCCTAGGAAGAGTGTAGGACTGGTTAAAAACATTGAAACAATTGGACAATAAATAAATTTCATTTTTTCTGGTCCCCGATAGAGGATGGAGGCTAGATTAGCCAAAAGACGGTGATAGACGTGTAAAATTATCTTTAAAGATCTTCCACATTGTATGAACCACTATTTCAAAGCCAAAATTTTATCTCCAAGACGTGAAAAGATGTATTGATGTGAACGAATATTAACGCTCCAATTCCGTTGCATCTAAATCAATCAACAATCTAAGTGGTTATTTAGTAAACTATTCTACTTATCACATGAAATATTTAAGACTCGCACAATGTTGGAATATGGATGAGGTATATGTCCTCTTGATCGCCTTGACCAAATATAAATCATTACATATCAACTCAAAAGTACCAGTTTCCAGGGATAGATCATAATGGTGGCTAAAATGGGCATAATGGTCGGAATGGCTAGAAGTAGACTAACTCTCCTCCATAAAGATATATACGGATATTTGGCCTTTAATGAGATGGTCGATCTTCTACACTCGAGACTGAGGTCGATCGATACACTGTTAGTAATTGTTAAGGTGATACGGTGAAAAACTGCCTTTAATAAGTGCAACCCTTACTAATAGTACCTTTACACCAAGCATCACTCAGCCATCCAAATTTTAGGAACCATCAAATCTTTTTTGTGTTTTTAATATCTATAAATATCTGGACTGACTTGCGCGCACCTCGTCGACAATCGTCTATCCTTACTACATTTGGTTGTGAAGAAAACATATACGAGATTAATTTCTAGATAAATAGGTGGCCATCACGAGGTTTGAACTCGTTCCTTCTAAACCCATTACATCAAACTTTCGACTCTAATACCAACTAAAAAACACTTCATTCGAACCAAATGCTAAACACCTAAAGCAACTCAACGAGAATACTAATTAAGTTTAAGGTTTATTTAACAAAACTGTACCTTTATCGTTAAGACCTCATTTCCTTCACGAAAATGAGAATTGAGAATGGAAATTTTAATTCCCTCTAATAGTATTTACTAAAATATAGAAATGAAATCAATGAGTGAGATCCATTTTAAACTTAAGAATCACCCCTTAAAAAGGGTATCTCATTCTTCTTCTGCAATCTCATTAATCTCATTAGCATTCTTTATTCTATAGGCTCCCGCCTTCTCAATAATTATTTTACAAATTTTACCCTTTCACCTATTTTCTAGCGAAGCACCGCGTTCATCTTACACAAACATACTTTTTGTGAAGAAATTAATATATTATTTCTTCTATACATTTGAATTAAATACAAGGTCTTTCCTATATGGGAGACCATCAACAAATCAGCAAATAGCTGAAAAGGTAAATATTAACATAATTATAGACAGCTAATAAATACACAACTAATATTTACAGTAAAGGAAATACAGCAAACATATTTTCAACTTCCTCATGAAACTATTGGCATGGAAGGCTTTGCAAACCTGATTTACCATGCTAGAGGTGGAAGCAATACCATTAAAAGTCAACTGGCTGTGACAACCCCTTCAAGTGATCAGAGTCCTTAACCAATGGCTCAGTGCTTTCAGGATCAAGTTGAAATGAAATCCTTGATGCCTTGGTATGATATAGTACAAAATGTTGATAGAAGAAAATCAGATCAAACATTATAGAGATCTGCAACACAGTATAAATGCAGTGAGCAAATAGTGCAAACTCGAATTACTCAGAAATGTTTGGATGCTATAGTTTTTTTTTCTTTTTTTTTTTTCTTCCTTATAACTGGGACTTGGAGCTTTGCTCCCCCTATACTCAAGGGCATCCACACCCACCCAAGCCCCGGACCTGGGAGACATCAAGATTTTTTTGGTATTAAACCCTCTAGAAGGTTCGAACTTGAGACCTCTAAATTAGTATGACCAAGAGACCTCAAGTTTTTGCCAACTTTAGAGGCTAAGTTTAAGGGCTATAGTTAGCTTCTGCAACTACTGAGATAGAGAGAGATCATACCAAAGCTAACAATGGCTTCCCTATATTTCCAAAGAAGTTCACCCAAGAACCTGGAAAAGAATCAGAAGACCAGGAATTAAGGATAATATTATTAGGTATCAATGATTTAGTCCATCGAGCTTAATATTTCTATCCTGTTACCGTTTATACATAAAAAAATATGAAACTATTCTTGTAAATTCATCACAACATAAGGGTGAACAACCATATCAAAATCATTAGCAAGGTGGCAGTTTGCAATATGATTAAGATTTTCACTTTATCACTTTTCATTTTTTCTAATTATGTGATAGAAATATGATTCTGGTTACCAAGCTAACCATAGACATAAGTTGCAACAGAAGGATTTGGAATTTGTTGGGTAAAGAAAAGAGTAGATGACCTTGGTCAATCGACTGCACGCTCATTTGAGCCAAACTTGCCACTCCTCCAGTGAAGTCAAGAACAACATTACCAATGCTGAATCCTACTGTGCTCTTTCGGGTGAAGTTCATAAATGCCTGTACGTAATAACAACAGAACTTAAATGAAATGCTAGCTTCTATGTTCTTTGTCAGTGCACAAACTCATTTTACTCTCAAATGGATTCCACAAGGCAATATTGCAAGTAATTCAATGACTTACCACGCTGCACAACTTTATGAAATATTACCATACTTGGGGTTGGACTATATCTTTTAAGTTTTCAAACTTAAGCCAAATTTATTGATTATCAAAAGTGAAATTCTAAAGCACAAAAATGAAACTTAAGCTTTTAGGAAGGGCGCTTAATGAGAATTTCTTCCAAAAGTACCCATAGAAGGAGAGTTTTAACTTAAAACTTAAAAGCAATTTGTTTTAAGACACCCCAAACTCACCCTTAGCCTTTTTGTTAACAGACAAGAACACTTCTGTCTTGTACTACAACATTTTTTAATATCTTAAGCAATTGGTTTTTACCAAAAAAATTAAGCAAAACTGGAGTAGAATAAAAAAACTTAATGCCAAATACAACGAAATTTAATAACAAAATGAAAACAAGTAAATTGTGGATTTAACAATTTTTCTCCATTACCTTTTCCTTATCTCATCTATAAGACCACACACATGAAAATATAATTGAAAAAAATGAACAATCTCTTATACATAATCTATTGTGCAAAGAAAAATAAAAGAGATTGTTTGATATTAAGTTGAATCATGAAAAAGAACCAGGAACAAAAGGACTAATAAATACTTTAGAATGAAAGCCTAACCTGAGGAGAGTATTTGATGATTGTCATAAAAACTTGAATTGTACTGCAACACATTGACAATGATCCTTAGTGAATTATTAGCAAATCAACTAACAATTTTTTTATTTATTTGATAACTGGAAGTCGGAGCTTTGCTCTCCTATACCCAAGGGCACCCGCACCGGTGCCCGCCCCAACGCCCAGACTCGAGACTCATCGAGCTTTTTGTATTAAGCTTATCAAGAAGGTTCAAACTTGAGACCTCTAAGCCAATATCACCAAGAGATCTCAAGCCTCTGCCGACTGGACTATCCGTTGGGCCTAGCAAATCAACTAACATAACTTCATAAGGTTAAAAAGGAAGAGGAAATGGTTACTTGAAGATGGAGACGAGCCAGAGCCATGAATGGGTTGGCAGAGCAATAAAAAAGCAAGCTGCTGCAAAAAACCATACTCCAGCGAAGATGGCGATGGCTATCTTCGAGAGCTTCTGGTTGCCACGCTGCGTCAAAATTCAATCAGTAGAATACCAAATAGTTACCCAAATTAAACCAAAGCAAGATGGAACCCTAAAAGAGCAAATAAGTACTGACTTCAGAAAATGCAATTTGAACTGAGAAAACGAAGATCAATAACAACGAGTGAATGGGGAAAATCACGTCGCTCAAAGCCACCGGTATCATCTGCAACAGTCAATTAAAACTGTTCAGATTCAATAAATGTATACAATAAATACAAATTTCTGCATCCAATTCTGTGAACAAGGAAAAGAAATGGGATTAAGCAGCAGTTTGAGCGTCTTAAGACCAAAATTATATCATCCCTCAATTTTCTACTGCTATAACGCTGAAATTTCCCGAGGAGGCACCACATGTTCGCATCAGACAAAGGAGAATAGGAAAAAAAATGCAAATCGAAAAAATTCATGGCCACATTTCGACTAATAACGAACTGAAGAACAAACTTACATTTCGATCGAACTCACTTATCCGATGTATACTAATTATCGGAGATATATTATCTAGGTTAATTTTGACCTAAATATTTTATGTTGGATTGGTGAAGATTTTAAGTTTAAATGCAGTAAATTTCTATTTTATCATATTTTGGTGAAAAAAATACTTGTCCACTCTAACATTTTTTATTTGCGTGATCATCGACACACTTAGTTTCAAATTTTTATTTGTTGTATGTAACTCTTTTTTTTATTCTAATTAAAATAAACCGGTTCTCCCTGTACATTTTTTATATTACTATTCAAACAAGGTTGATTTTCTAATTTTTTCTTCGTGTATTTAATTTTCTTTATATTTCAATTTTGTTTAAATTTTTATATATTTACGTTTTTTTTTATAGATTTTTCTTCTTTTCCTCTTTTACTTTCGTTTTTTGTATATCATAAAATAACTATGATAGTAAAAAATAAAATTCCTGCAAATAAATTGAACTAGTTTGATTTTAAGTTTTTTTTTTAATATTTTAATCAAGACTTTTGCAAGTTTTCTTTATTTAGTTTTTAAAATAAAAGTGTAGTTTTTTTTTGGGTTTATTTGATTAAATTATTTATGTTTTTCAACGTTGAAATTACTAATTTATGTTTTCTTTTCATTTCCGGTGAACATCCAAATAAGAATTTTAATTTCAATGATTTAGAATCAATTTGATTCCAAATGGAATTAGGAATTTGAAATCATCTTCGTCATTTGAAATCCTAGAATTTGAAATCATTTCTACCCGTTCCAAGTATCAAATGGAGCGTAAAAAAATAGCAGCCAGCGGATATGGAAATTCTCTCTCGGAGTTGAAAAGGAAATTCAAATAAAAAGGTTAAAATATTATTTCATCTGTGTACATTGAGTTTTGGTTCATTTTAATTTTTGTATTTTATGTTCATTTTGGTGCATATATTTTCAACTTTGGTGGTTTCTATTTTTAAAATGTTTGTTTTGATCGTTTGTACTATTAAAAAGTAACCATTTTAGTCACTTAATTTTTTTTAATCTCATTTTTTCTTACCATAATTTTAACACAATATTATATTCAATATATTTATTTAAATGTAAATATGATTTTATATTAACGGATTTCCATTATATGCAAAATCAATTAAAATTTTGTAAATATTTATCAAAATGGTCACTTTTGTAACATTTTGAGATTACAAAAACTAAAATAAATCAGAGTTCAAGTACACGAACCAAATAATATTTTAACTAAATAAAAAAGTGTAATAAAAGGTAAAATTTTACATTTAGTTAAAAGGGTCCCTATTCTTTTATGTAATTTTAAATTTAGTCGTATATTTTTTAAATCCTCAATTTTACCCGTAACGGATTAAAAATTCTCAATGAAGTCTCGCACAAAATCGATTTAGTGTTCAAATCTCAATGACTAAAAAGGTAATTTACCCTCAACTTTTTTACAATTTTTAAAGGTACGATTATTTTTGTCGTGTTTAATGCTTATTAACTGGATTTTGTTGTCGAGTTTGAATGCATTTTACATTCTCCATCGAGCATTTTAGTCGGATTTTCAAATTTGTGTGAGTAATATAGATATTGAATGCATATTAATTTAATCAATATTAAAAAATATTAGAAATAAAAAAGAGAAATTTTAAAATTTTACTACTAAGTTTGTAATCTTTAAAACTTCGATCAGTCCTATTAAAACTTAAACATGCAATCTTAACCAAGGTTAAGATACCAAACGCTGTCTATCAATTTGACGTAGTTTAATAGTAAAGGTAAAACTAACTTCCATGTTTTAAATTTATACTCTCACATTAAACTTGACATGACTCAAAATTTGAAAGTCGAAATCTCCACTCATGTGGTAATTACATAAAAAAGAAAAACAAACAACTCCAAACCACCATTGCTATACTAAAAAAAAGCTAAACTTTTCTGTAGGTTTGAAGGTCTAATCCTATGATGTAATATGCAATTAATCTCTCCTCAAAATTAAATTAAAAAGTAAAAAATTACTCCAAAACCAATATGAATGGTGAAAATATCCGATCCTACGAACACAAAAATAGTCTCACTTAGCCACTTTTAGGAAAAAATGTAACTAAATAACGTATTAATTATATTGTTGGTTATCTTCAACATAGCTCAATTGATTAAGATATATATCATCGACTAGAAGGTAAGAAATTCGAATTCCCACCGAATTGAATTAAAAAAAGGAAATAAATTTACACCATTATTTGTACTAAAAAATTTTTTCACCATTGTTTGTACAAATAACAAAAACATTTGCACCGTACAACTACTGGACACTTAAAAAGTTTTCTCAAATAAAAATAATATTTAAATACTATTTTAGTGAATGTATTTTTTATTTTTGTTTATTTTGATTCATATACTTTCAAAACTTCTGATTTGGTCTCTATATTTTAAAAAATGTGACTATTTTGGTCAAAAATTATAACACAAATTTTATACATTAACAAAAACTCTTTAATATAAATTTATACCTACATTTCAAGAAATTTATCGAGAAAATTGTTATGTTAAAATTTATGATTAAAATAAATAAGATACAAAATGGTCAAAATGAATTAAAATAACCACTTTTTAAAAGTATGGAAACTAAAATAGATGGTTCGAAATTTGAAAATTAAATGAACAAAAATTGAAAATGCATGAATTAAAAATCATTCAAAATAGAAACTAAAATAAATCAAAATCAAAATAACAAAACCAAAACAAGGTATATAAACCATAAAAATCTTGTGCATAAACTCAAAAAATATACTGCCGCCCAAAATGTCAGCGATGATAGAGGCACCTATGACCAACTTACACCATATTTTTGGAAAACAAAATATCCAAATCAATTTTTTTTTTCTTTTTCTTTTTTTTTTTCCTTTTTTAGAGTTTTTGTGTTCCTCCTTATTTGTCGGAGATTTCTACTTTTTGACCGTCTTCATTTTAGTACATCAACGTGTAAGATTGGGATTTAAATTTACGATTTTTAGATAAAAATATATATTTAAATTGGATGTCGGATTCATGCATTTCGGATATTCGTTTTTGTAATCTTGTAAAATATAATGTATTCTAAATTATGTAACTTGTAAAATAAATTCATAAAAAATATTAATAAATAAATAAATTAATATAATTTAGACTAAATTAAATATTTAGTTTGTAACTCGGATTTAAATAAAGGATTTAAGAAATATAAATTTAAAAAAAAAAGTTAGAGCTGAGTCAGTTTGACGATGTTTCTGTATTTTTTCCTCTTTTTGTTTTAAAAACTATATTCAGCGTCAGAGTTTCCTTATTGAAAAAGAAAATAAAATATGTTGGATAGTTTTTTTTTTTTTTCTCTTTTGAAGAACTTTTTGGT